GCTTGGGGGTGATGGGGGTGAGGAGAGTTTAGGACACCCTCCAGATTTATTTTTATTTATTTTTTTTCCCATTTATTTTCATTAGTTGGAGGCTAATCACCTTACAACATTGCAGTGGTTTTTGTCACACATTGAAATGAATTAGCCATGGATTTACATGTATTCCCCATCCCGGTCCCCCCTCCCACCCCCCTCTCCACCCGATCCCTCTGGGTCTTCCCAGTGCACCAGGCCCAAGCACTTGTCTCATGCATCCAACCTGGGCTGGTGCACCCTCCAGATTTAGGACGGGGTGATGAAAAGCTGAGCTGGCGTAATTGTGTCTTCTGCCTTGGACTGGCTGCAGCCGTGGGCCTCCTGAGTTGGCTCACTTACATCTTTTCAATTTTAACTTTTCATCCTGAATATTGCCCAAGAGACACAAAGGGAGAAAGAATCGTATGATGAACCCCTGTACCCTTCACCCAGTTTTGACATTCCTGTTGTATCTCTTCCCCCATCAAAAAAACGTTTGAAACCTGGCATAGTATTTTAAAACTAATCCAAGACATATTGGTTCACTTTTGAATATTTCAGTCTCCGTCTTTAACAGATAAACATTTTGCAAAAATGTTTTGCACAATACCGTCATCACAGCTCCTGACAATTTTTTAATAACCATCCCAAGTCCATTTTTCTATTTCCCTGACCAACTCAAAACATCTTTATGCAAAAGTGCTTCATTTGAATTGGGATCCAGTTTCCTGACCAGGGATTGAACCTGGGCCACTGCGGTGAAAGTCCAAATCCTAACCACTAGACCACCAAGGAATGCCCAAGTTTTGTTTGGTTTGATTTGTTTTGTTTAATTCTATTATTAAATTTTTGAATTGAGGTATAGTTGATGTACAGTAGCATATGATTCGGAGAAGGCAATGGCAACCCACTCCAGTGCTCTTGCCTGGAAAATCCCATGGCTCGAGGAGCCTGGTGGGCTGCAGTCCATGGGGTCACTAGGAGTCAGACACGACTGAGCAATTTCCCTTTCACTTTTCACTTTCATGCATTGGAGCAGGAAATGGCAACCCACTCGTGTTCTTGCCTGGAGAATTCCAGGGACAGGGGAGCCTAGTGGGCTGCCGTCTATGGGGTCGCACAGAGTCAGACACGACTGAAGCGACTTAGCAGCAGCAGCAGCAGTATATGATTGTACAATGTACAGTCTTGAGTTCCTGGTGTTCAACATTCACACTTTTTACAGGTTATACTTCATTTATAGTTATTATAAAATATTGGCTATATTTATAGGTTGTAGAAAAAACATACAACCTGTGCCGTTGGTTTGGCTTTTCACCTATTTCTGTGAACTGCTTCAGGCTCTGGGCTTCGCTGAACCCCACCTTAATCTGCAGGGCTGCCGTGAGGAAGGGCCACAGTCTGGCTGACTCACCCAGAAATATCATCTGAAAGTTCTAGAAGCTGGAAACCTGAGATCAAGGTGTAAACCAGGCTGCTTCTTTCTGAGGCCTCTCTCTCCATGGCTCACAGATGGCTGTCTTCTCCCTGTGTCCTCAAGTGGTCTTTTCTCTGTGCATGTCTGTGTCCCCATTTTCTTTTTCTCTTTTTCCTTTCAAAAATTTTTTTATTGGAGTATGGTAGATTTACAATGTTGGGTTAGTTTCAGATGTATAGCAGAGATTCAGTTAAACATGGGCATGGTGGTGCCTGGCTCTTTGCAACCCCTTGGACTGTAGCTCACCAGACTCCTTTGTCCATGGGATTTCCCAGGCAAGAATACTGGAGTGGGTTCATTTTCTTTCTTTTTTTTTTTTTCCCCATCAAATGCAGTGTTTACTTTTTTTTTTTTTGCCATGCTGCGAAGCATGTGGGATATTAGTTTCCTGACCAGGAACGGAACCTGTGCCTGTAGCATTGACCACACAGAGTCCTCACCACTGGAGGACCTGTGGGGAGGCCCCCCATCTCTTCTTGTAGGGCCCCAGTCCTGTTGGATCCAGGTTCTCCACATTGACCTCATTTCACCTTCATTGAGATTTGGAGGAACACAGTGCTGCCCACAGCACCCCCTCAGGGCTCCTGTGTCTTCACACAGACAGGGAGCCAAGGACTAACTTCCCGGAGCAGAAGCCGCAGTGAGCAGTGCCAGCCCACAGCCCCAGAGCGTTCCCACCCACCCAGTCCAAAAGGCCCACGGTGAGCCTTTCCATGTATCACCCTCTCCTGCCCCGGCTGGTCCCCAAGGTCGGCCTGAGCCTTCCTCTGAGCACAGCCAGGTCCTGTCTGGGCCTGTGGGTTTCCCAACGCCTGCCCAAAGACAGTTGTTTGGTGGGAAGGAGATGACTCCGTTTGGAGAGAGGACTGGACCTCCAACCTTGCTGGGCACGCTGGGTTGCTGCCCAGCCATCCTCCGATTAGACATAGGCAACCTAAGGAGTCCCCACATCTTTTTTTTTTAATTTAATATTTATTTACTTGGCTGCACTGGGTCTTAGTTGCGGCACATGGGATCTTTAATTGCAGCATTTGAACTCTTAGTTACGGCATCTAGGATCTAGTTCTCTGACCAGGGAATGAATTCGCGCCACCTTGCATTGGGAGCATGGACTCTTACCCACTGGTGGACCACCAGGGAAGTTCCCTAATGTCCATTCTTCCCTAGTCCCATTTTACAGCTGAGAAAACTGAGGCACAGAGAGGGTCAGCGGCAGCGGAAGCTGTAATGTCTCTTCCTCCCCAAATAGCTACTTTCCCACACCCTTTCCAGGGGAGCTGGTGCCCTTGAAAGGCCTGCTCATCTTTTTCCCAGGTGCCCCAGGGAGTCCTTTCCCTTTTCCTCCACTTGAACAAAATGTAGAAATTGCTGCCTATGGACAAACGGGCACAAATTGTGATGCTTTTAAAGAATAACAAGAGGAGGAACAAAGAGTGGAGAACCCTGGAAGGGAATGCTCTTTGGCAAGAAAGAGGAATTAAGTACTGATTCACATGGGTGCCACATGGGTGAAGCCTGACATTATTATTTTGAGTGCAAGGAGCCAGACACAAAAGGGCACGGATTGCCTGATTCCATTTGTACAGAAAGTCCAGGAAAGGCAAGACCGTGGAGACGGGAAGATCAGTGGTTGCCTAGGCTGAGGGGAGGAGGGAATGAGGAGCGACTGCAGATGGGGACAAGACTCCTTTTGGGGTGATGAAGATGTTCTAAAATTCAATTATGGGGGATTTAAAAAAAACCACAACATTGAATCGTGTGTTTTAAAGCCGAGAACTTTATGGTATGTAAATGATATGTCAGTGAAACTCTTTAACAAAAAAAGAATTATAACTAAACGGACACCGGTGTGTCTTCTCTCCAGGGGATGGTACATTCTCCAAAATGCCCCCACCCACCTACCCCTATCCAAGAGAGGTCCAGGGACTCTCTTTTCCCTGACATAGGTACTTCCTTCTGTCTTCCTACTTCCTCCCTACTTCCTACATGATTTTTTTCTTAATGTCAACTGTTCCATTATTATTATTATTTCTTACTCTTTCAGTTTAAAAAGCATTTTTTTGAAAAATAGAAGTACAGTTGAGGACTTCCCTGGTGCTCCAATGGTTTAAGAATCCACCTGCCTATGCAGAGGACATGGGTTCCACCCCTGGTCCAACAAGATTCCATATGCCACAGGGCGACTAAGCTTGAGTGCCACAACAAAGATTCAATGCAGCCAATAAATAAATGAAGTACAGTTGATTTGCAGTGTTATGCTAGTATCCTTCTGGTTTTCAAATAGCAACTTATGGAGGAATAATTCATATATTAATACTATACAGTCTCCATTTAAAGTGTATAATTTAGTAGGTGTGTTGGGGGGTCATTTCCTTTTTATCTTTTGGTCACACTGCAGGGCATGTGGGATCTTAGTTCCCTAACCAGGAATCAAACCCCAGGCCCCCTGCATTAGCAGCTCAGAGTCATCTGCTGGACCACCAGGGAAGTCCCTGTCTGTGCCATTCTTCACCTGGGCATATAAGGGAAGATCTACAAGCGAGTGGTAACAGTGTTGTCTCTGGAAGGGGATTCAGGTTGTAGGAAGTGAGACTATACCATGTGTATAGCATATCACTTATTTTAAAAAAATAAAGTGAAATGAAGCTGCACCTTGTGTTCATACTGGGAGAGCTACTGCAGCCCTCCAAGGCCCCTGGGTCCTTAAAACTGGGATGGAGGTGCGTCTCCATCGTTTGCATTCGCCCGAGAGGTGATGGTGGGACTCAACTGTGAAAACCGCCATTCTCGCCCCTTAGAGTTGCTCGCATGCAGCAGCGCCCAGCCTCCAGGTGAAATAGGTTGGTTGCAACACCTCCCACCATTTAGAAATGAGAATTCAGGCAGCGACTTTGACAAGAGTTAGCAGAGGGCTCTGGGAGTAATCAAAGTGAAGTGAGCAGCTTTGCGGAGGGCTCCTGGCTTCTCCGATGGATCCCTCCACCTGTAGAAAGGAGACTTTTTAAAAAAATATATTTTCCTTATTTATTTATTATTTTTGGCTATGCTGGGTCTTTGTTGCTGCAGGCAGCTTTTCTGTAGTTGCAGAGAGCTGGGGCTACCCTCTAGTTGCAGTGTGCAGGCTTCTCATTGCCGTGGCTTCTCTTTTTGCTGAGTACGGGCTCTAGGGCTCACGGGCTTCAGTAGCTGTGGCACACCAGCTTTGTTGCCCCATGGCATGTGGGGTCTTCCCAGACCAGGGATCGAACCCATGTCCCCTGCATTAGCAGGTGGGTTCTCAACCACTGGACCACCAGGGAAGTCCAGGAGGGAGATTTGACCATATTCACTTGGTTCTTGGCACCCTGAGCTAGTCCCAAGTTCCATCAATTTCGTGGGTGATTTGGCCAAGCCCTGGGGTGGCCTTTGTCATCGGCTGGCTGCGTTTTCTCATTCAAGTGTACACTTGGCTGGGCTAGGAAGGAGGAAGCTGTGGCCGAGTCGGTAATGACTTTTCTCATTTCTGCAGTTCCTGACAAGGCTGACTGAGAGGTTCGTGCTGGGAGTGGACATGTTTGTGGAAACCGTGTGGAAAGTTTGGGCAGAGCTCTTGGAAGTTCTTGGACTCGACGGTAGGTGTTGGGCATTCATTTGAAGGCTGCGTTTCATTCTGGTGCTTCTCAAATTATGGGAATGGTATCCAGGGCAGGTGGTGCAGGAGAAGACAGGGGTGGAGGGGATACAAGAGAACCTATTTTATTATCGTAGTTGTGTATGTAAGTAACTGAGATTCCCAGATGCTACTTAGAAGGTGTAGGTGGGTAGTGCCAACTTGTCTGTCCCTAGGCTTCCCTGTTGGCTCAGATGGTAAAGAATCCGCCTGCAATGCAGGAGACCTGGCTTCAATGCCTGGGTCAGGAAGATCTCCTGGAGAAAGGGATGATAACCCACTCCAGTAATCTTGCCTGGAGAATCCCATGGACTGAGGAACCTGATGGGCTACAGTCCATGGGATCTCCAAGAGTCAGACAGGACTGTCACTTAGGCAAACCTCGGGGACTGGAGGTGGAGTCTCTGGGTGGTCGGGGTCCATAACAAACTACTCCAGTTACTCAGACGGGAAGTGATTTAATACAGAGAATGAGGTGCTCACAGACTCATCGGAAGGAGCAGTGTGTGATCCCCAGAAAGTCAATGTGCTGGTCCAGGAATCAGGAGGCAGCTGCTGGAACCCTTTGAGTTCAGGCTGCTGCCTCTCTCCAAGAAGCCTGCAGCTGCCTGTGTCAGGATCGCCAAGACCACCCCTGCCCCCAGGTCCCGTGCATCTCTAGAAGGACTCCCAGGACCCAGCGTTTGTTGGTACCCTCAGCTGTGATGTGTTACAGGGAAGGACAGAGCACAGTCAGCAAAGGGAAAGACACGTGGGGTGAAGTCTGGGGAACCAGGCACAGGCTCCCAGAGCTCTCTCCAAGATGGGGGTGGGGGTGTCACACAGGACACGCTTTGTTCCCCATGTGAAGTGTCCTGAACCAGGGACATCCAATCGAGACTCAGCACCCAGGGTGTTTATTGGGGGGCTGGTCATGTAGGCACCCTCTGCCTTGTACCTTCTAAATTCCAGACTCCTGGAACGAAAGCAGGTATCAGCATGAACCACGTTGTTTGTGCAGAACCTCCAGGCCCAAATTGAACTCAGTTCTGACCCTGCCTCCCTGGAGGTAACATCTGATCCTAAGTCAGAGGCTTAGTCCCACAATTGCCCCCACTTCAGACACTCGTCTAGGTTGTCCCCGATGCTTCTGACTGGCTGGTATAGATCAAGGGTACCAATGACCCGTCCCCTCCTTGGGTTCAAGTAACTTGCTAAAGCTGCTTGTGGAACTCAGGAAACCTGTTTACTCAGTAGATAGTTGTTTTTTTATGAAAGGTGATAGGAGCCAGGTGAAGGAGGGGCATGGGGCAGGGTTTGTGGGCAGGATGCAGAGCTTTTACGTTCCGAGTTCTATTGACTCATTGGCCACTGGTGATGGATTCAACCTTCACCTCCTCCCAAGAGGTCAGGAGGGTCAATCGAAAGGCTCAACCCTCTAAAAACCAAGTTGGTTCCCTTGGCAACCAGCCTACCTCTTTAGAGGCTTTTCAGAATTACCTGATTAACAAACACAGGTATGTGAGAAAGGGGCTGTGAATTATCAAGACACCTTTATTGCTCTTACCACTTAGGAAATTGCAGGGGTTTTAGGAGCCTGTGCCAGAAATGGGGATGGAGACCACTTATTTCTTAGGCATCCCAATCTCACAATCCAGAAATCCACGTTCCCAGATGCTGGCCAAGGGCCCAACTTGCAAACCTTTCTGGAAAGTGGCCTTAGGCCTTCTGGGTGAGCGCTTTGCTGCTTATCTCCTAACCAGGGTCCCTTCTCAACAAATCAGCTAGAGTGATTTTTTTTTTTTTAATTACTACTTTTTTGGTTAGTGATTTTAAAAAAACAAAACATGAAAGTCAGATTAAGTCACTCTCGTTAAAACTATCCAGTGATTTCCTGATGCACTCTCAATTGACAAAGTTCACACCAAGGACACTGCCTAGCCCTTGGACACACCCGAGTCCTTGACGCCTTCCGGTTGCTCTATGTGTTCCCTGCTGGGGACGATCTTCCCAGCCCTTTGCCTGCTCCCGTCTTTCCCATGCTCGGGTCTCTGGTAAATGACACCTCCTCCAAGAAGCCCATCCTGACCACGTTGTGTGAGGACCCTCATGCTGAGTTCTCACACTCGCATTCTCCCACCTCCTGTCCTCCTCCCACATGTTTGTATTTGTTATCAGTTCCCCTCTGAGATCCATGAGCAAGGTCTTGCATGCCTTCTCCAGGCTGCAACCTCGGCCCCAGCTCTGCCCCTGGTACAAAAAGGCCCATTGTCAGTAAGGGTTGGAGGCCTGTCAGCCCCACTGCTTCACTGCTTTGGCGAATTGAGGTGTCCCTCTCCAAAAGTGCCCCCTCAAAACCCCCACACCTGTGAATGTGACCTTATTGGGGAATGACGTCTCTGCAGATGTAATCAAGCTGAGATGAGGTCATCCTAGGTTAGTGTGGGTCTTCAATCCAACATCTGGTGTCCTTACAAGAAGACGAAGGGACATCCTTGGTGGTCCAATGGATGAGACTCGAGCTCCCAATGCAGGGGGCCCTGATTTGATCCCTGGTTAAGGAACTGGATCCCACATGCCGAATCCAAAGATCACGCATGCCCCCATGAAGATCGAAGATCCTGCATGCTGCAACTGAGACCTGACACAGCCAAATAATAAATAAAAATAAATATTTTTTAAAAAGAGGGAAATTTGGACGGAGACACAGACACACGGAGACGATGGCCATGTGAATGTGAAAACGGAGATGGAGAAGGAGGGGTGCAGTCAACGAGCCAGGGACCGGAAGGGGCCGGGAGAGAGCCTCCCCTGGAGCTTTAGCTGGTGTGCAGCCCCGCCCACAGCTTGACTTCAGAATTCTGGCCCCCAGAGCAGTGAGGCTCCATTCCCGTTGCTTGAAGCCACCACGTCTGCGTCTGTTACAAAAGCCTGAGGAGACCAGTACACTGTCTGAGTTCCACGCACCATCTCTTTGAATCCACTCACCACCTCCGACCCTCTCCATCGGCCCTGACACTCCCACCTTACAGATAGAGACCAAGGCCTTGGAGCTGAGCTGGCTGCTGGCCCAAACCCATACCCTGGTTCGCACCCGCTGTCATCCCCTCCATCCTTGGGAACCCACCCTCCGGCTTTGAGCCGCTGAATTCAGTCTCTGAGAGGCAGAATCAGAGGCAGCAGCATCGCCATTTGAGAGGCTGCCATGCAGCTCCAAGCCCCCTGGGGCTGCGGAGGGCCCCTCCTGGGACTCCGGCTGAGTCAACACGGAACCTGGCTCCCGCAATTGAGTGCAATCCAGCTTGGAATCCATTTTCACCACCTGCCCAGATCATTAAACTCTCGGTATTTCTATCCCTGACCAATGAGCCCTGGACAAACAAACCTGACTGCAAGAAATTGCACTCGGCTTGAAAGGAAAGACTAGAGTCAAGTCAGCCTCCTGGTTGGAGAGCTATATCCCACGTGCCGAAACTAAAGATCCTGCATGCCGCAGTGAAGATCAAAGAGTTCTACAGCTAAGAGGCCCTGAATACTCATGTTATGAGAAGGGTGGCTGGCACATTCAGAGGTGAAAGAACTCACTTCTGTGTTGTGGTTTTTTTCCCCTTGATGCATTAAGTTTCAAATCATCTGAAGACCTCTAGAGTGTGTGTCTTACACTGAGACTTTTGAAGGTGCAAAATGTTTTGCAGGAAACTGGACTCCAGAGTTGGATATTCTGGTACAGAATGCATCTGTGAGCACAATGCTTTAATTGCCTGCTTCAGAATGTTTCAAGGTACTGGTTAAAATGGAGAGTCCTTAGCCTGGAGTGGTTCCATAGAAATAGAATGCCAGCCACATATGTGACGTTAAATGTTCTAATTGCCATGTTAAAAAAGTAAAAAGAAACCAGTGAAATGAATAAGGTATTTTAGTTAATCCAATATATTAAAAATATTGCCATCTTGGTACTTCCCTTGAACCTGGGTTTGATACAGGGGTTTGATACAAGCTGCCAGCACAACCACAAGGAAAAAAAAAATGTCATTTCATCTTGGAATCAATAGAAAATTATTAACGAGGTGTTTTACATCTTGGGGCATACTAATGTCTTGGAAATCTAGCCTGTATTTGGCCCAGCACATCTCAACTCACACTTGCCATGTTTCCTGGGCTCGGTGTCCACTATAATGACAGTACAGTTAGCTCCACCCTCGCTCTCCTGGCTGAAGACACTTTTCTGGGAAATAGCATCCAGAGTCAGAAGGAAGGATTTCAGTCTCCCATCTTCAAATTGTTGACTTTCTCTGAAGCCTTGGAGGCCTTGTGACACTTGTGACAAAATGGGGGAAGTAGGGATTCCTCCTGAAGGCTGCCTGAGGACAGGGCAGGGACTGGGTGGCTCTGTCAGCCAGACTCTGCCTTGAAATACCAGCTCCACTCTGCCCTAGGTGTGTGACTGAAAAAGGTTCCTGGACCCAATTCCAAAGTGTGTGTGTGTATGTAGGCTTCCCACTACCAGCTAGCAATGTGCAGATACCATGGGGTGACAGAGAATTCAACTCAGTTCTGACATTATCTACCTAGAGGCAGAATCAGACCCCACAGGCAAAGGATTCAGTCCCACAAGACCACCCTCCACTTTGGATGCCGATCATGAGTCCAGGTCATCACCTGTGCTTCTGAGCAACTGGCTGCAAACTAGAAGTTCCCATGACCTCCTTCTGCTAGAAGGAGGGACTAATTTACTAGAGCAGGGACTTCCTTGGTGGTCCAGTGGCTAAAAGTCTGCACTTTCTCTGCAGGGGGCAAGGGTTCGATCCCTGGTCAGGGAACTAGATCCCACATGCTGCAACTAAGAGTTTGCCTGCCACAACTAAAGATTTTGCATGCCTCAACGAAGATCGGCAATTCCCTGTGCCACAGCTAAGACCTGGTGCAACCAAATAAGTAAATAAAAATATTTTTTTAAAAAACATGGAGCTTTAAAACAAGACACAATAGTATTGGCATAAAAACAGACACATGGACTAATAGAGCCGAGAAATAAAGCCATGCACATATGGTTAGCTAGTATTTGACGAGAAAGCCAAGCATGCTTAACGGAGGAAAGACAATCTCTTCAGTAAGTGGTGCTGGGAAAACATTCACATGTAAGAGAATGGAATCAGATCTCTATTTCACACCACTCACAAAAATTAACTCGAAACGGATTAAAGACTTAAATGTGAGACCAGAAACCGTAAAATTCCTGGGAGAAAACAGGCAGTCAGCTCTTTGACCTTGTCCTTGGCAGTGACTTTCTGGATTTGACACCAAAAGCAAAAAATAAACAAGCAGGGCTGCATCAGGCTAGAGAGTTTCTGCACAACCAAAGAAACGATCAACAAAATGAACTTACAGAATGGAAAAATATTTGCAAACGTATCTGTTAAGGAGTTTATATCCAAAATAGATAAAGAATTCATACAACTCAATAGCAGAAAAAAAAAAATTAAGACATGGACAAAAGGGAATTCCTAGACGGTCTAGTAGTTAGGACTCAGCTTTCACTGCGGGGGGTGCGGGTTCAATCCTTGATCAGGGAGCTGAGATCTCACGTGCTACATGCTGCAGCCAGGAAAAAAAAAAGGGCGGGGGGATGACAAAGGACCTGGATAAGCATTTTTTCCCAAAAAGGAAACACATGAATATAAATGTTTTCATATTTATGAAATAAAGGAAACATATTCCTTCTATATGAATGGTCAACAGGTACACGAAAAGGTACTGTATTAGCAGTAATTCAGCATGCTAGTCATTAGGGAAATGCATATCAAAACCACAGTGAAATATTAATTTGGTTATTAGAATGACTGTTACCAAAAAGATAAGAGAGAACAAATGTTGCTGAGGATGTGGAGAAGTTGGAACCCTTGGGCACTGTTGGTGGGAATGTAAAATTAGTTCACCACTATGGAAAACAGCATGGAGTTCTTCTTTAAAGTAGAGAACTTCCCTCGTGGTGCAGTGGCTAAGAATCTGCCTGCCAGGGCAAGGGACACAGGTTCCATCCCTTGTCTGAGAAGATTCCACATGCCTTGGAGCAACTAAGCCAGTGGGCCACAGCTACTAAAGCCCACATGCCCTGTAGCCTGTGCTGTGCTACAAGAGAAGGCCCCACGATGAAAAGCCCACACACTGCAACCCAAGAGTCGTCCCCACTCGCCACAACTAAAGAAAGCCTGCATGCAGCTTCCAAGATACAGCACAGCCAAAAATAAATCAGTAAAGTTTTAAAAAAAAGATTTCATTTTATCCATACAATCCAGCAATTCTACTTCTGGGAATATATCTGAAGGAAACAAAAACACTACGTCAAAGAAATAACTACACCATCACTGCCAACCCCTGCCCCCGCCCTGTCCCCAGCCATGTACATTGCAGCGTTACTCAGAATAGCTAAGACATGGAGTCAACCTAAGTGTTCACAGGCAGGTAAATGGATAAAGAAATGTTGGTGTGTCTATATATGATGGAATATTCTTCAGCCATGAAACAGGAAATCCTACCATTTGCAATCACATAGATGGACCTTGAGGGCATTAAGCTAAGTGAAATAAGTCAGAGAAAAGCAGATACTGTATAATCTCACTTATATATAGAATCTTTAAAAAAAAAAAAAAGAACTCATAAATTGAGAGGTCAGATTTGTGGTTGCCAGAGACAGTGAATGGAAAGTAGGGGAATTGGAGGAAGATGGCTAAGAGGTACAAACCTCAGTTAGAGGATAAATGAATCCTGGGAGTGTAGTGTGCAACATGATGACTGTGTTTAGCCCTGCTGTGCAGTATAGTTGAAAGTTATTAGAGTTAGGAGATCCTCAAAGTTCTCGGGAAAAGGAAAACTTTTTTTTTTAATCTATGAAATGGACATTTTTTTGTTTTGCTTATGTATTTTTAATTGCAATACATTTGCTTTACACTATTGTGGAGATGATGGATATTAACAAAACTTACTTTGATCATCTCACAATATAAGTCAAGTCATTCTGTATACCGTGAACTTCAATAGTGCTGTATGTCAGTTATGTCTCAATAAACGTAGGAGAGAAAGTTGCATGCTGAAGTATGATGTGTGCTTCTTTCGAATGGTTTGGTTAAAAAAAAGGGAGGGATATGTGACTAGAGATGGAGCAAAATGTTAACCATTATTAAACCTAGATGATTTCGATAGTATTTATATTACCATCCTTTTAACTTTTCTGTTTGGAAATTTTCTTAAGTCGGGCACACAGAAGATGCACGTCCTCCATTTCACTCCATTCTTAAGATGGAACTTCATGTGGGTACCAGTTACGATTAGGTTTGGCTGTGAGTAACAGAGACCCCAAATTACAGCAGCTTATACAAGATGGAAGCTTATATTTCTCTTATGTGAAAAGTTCACAGGTAGGTGGCTAGGCAGGTAGGTGGCTTTGCAGCACATTCTCCTCAGGTCCGAGGCCCCTTCCATCTTATTGCTCCCCAATAGGTGACTTCCCTTCCCTCATGACCCAAGACAGCTGCTCCTATACCAGCCATCGCATCCACATTCCAGCAGGCAGAAGAAGAAGAGGTAAAGGGCCTATTCCCACTACTTTTAGGAAGCCATCCCAGAACATTTCTGCCCACCTCTCCTTGACCAAAACTTAGTTATGTAGCTAGCTTCAAGGGAGGCTGGGAAACACCCTTCTCCTAGGCAGCCATGCGCTCAGCCTAATGCTGGGTTTGGAAGACAGGAAGGAGGGCAGCTGAAGGCCAGTATACAGGCTCTGCCCTACCTGAAAGGTGTTTTAAACCCATGATAGAGCAATGTTGCCCTGTCTTCTCCCAGGGTTCTATACCCAGGCATCCAGCTTTAGTTTCTCAGGGTGTGGAAGAGGCCCAGCCAGTGAGCTGAGCCACCCACCCCAGCTCGCAGAGAACCCCCATGACTCCCTGTAACCGGCCGCTGTCCCTCTGTTCTGTCCTGCAGTCTCGAACCTGTCCCAGTACTTCAACCCCAGCTCGGTGGCCAGTAGCCCTGCCCGAGCCCTCCTGCTGGTAGGCGTCGTCCTCCTGGCCTACTGGTTCCTGTCTCTGACCCTGGGCTTCACCTTCAGTGCCCTGCACATGGTGTTCGGCCGCTTCTTCTGGGTGGTGCGCGTCATTCTGTTCTCCATGTCCTGCGTGTACATCCTGCACAAATACGAGGGCGAGCCTGAGAATGCCGTGCTGCCCTTGTGTTTCGTGGTGGCCATCTACTTCATGACCGGGCCCATGGGCTTCTACTGGCGAGGCAGCCCCAGTGGCCCCAGCGTGGAGGAGAAGCTGGAACAGCTGGAGACCCAGGTCAGACTGCTCAACATCCGCCTCAGCCGTGTGCTGGAGAGTCTTGACCGCCCCAACAGCAAGTGACAACCAGCCAGCCGGCCGGCTCCCCCCCCACCAGCGCCCTCTCTCCGGAAACAAAAAAGAAGAAGAAAAAAAAGAACGCCAAACCCCAAACAGTCTTAATAAACATGCCTGAGCAAGAGAGGGGCGCTTTGTGAGGGTGTTTCCGGCCACGTGTCAACTCTTAGGACATCTTCCGGGAGGAATTGACAAGATCATTGATATAGGACTACCCACCAAGTGTCATTAGTGGAAAAAAATATTTTTTAAACAAAGGATATAACCATATTAGCTGTACAGTAAGAGAAGTTTATCTGTGCATAGAGCATAAAGTTAATTTTTTCAAGCATTTAAATACATCTTTTGTAAGGTTTTTTAATAAAGGCAGATCGAGTTGAGCTTATTAAAACTACACAGAGGGGAAGAAATTGCTAATTCGACCTTTTGGAAAAGTTTCAAGGCAAGTGTTTGCTTTTGCAGCACGGGGATTGGTGGTTGAGGTCTGTGTGCGTTCTTTTCATGTTCCAAAGCTGTGACCTTCATTTCATGTTGTTTTTGGTTGATGTTGATTTGATGAATTGTGTCGCTTCTGAATGTGGACTCTTGGGTTTCAAGGTTGAAACTCAATGTCTTTGAGATCCTAGATGATCCAACCAAGCCCCCATCAATCAGATTTCTAAATGAAGAAATCATCATTTTTAGAAAACCTGATTCCCTCCCCTTTCTGTACTTTGATGTATTTTAACCTTCACATTTTCTAAAGGAAAATTCAAGAACCAGGCAAAGGAATATCATTGGAGTTTGATACCAAGAACTGCCTGAGCAAGCATCGAAGCTCATCAGGTATCTAATTTGAGTCCTAATTTTACCACTGGCCAGCTAGGGGAATATAGGAAAGCTACACTCTCCAGGGTTTTTTGTATACTTATTTCATTTTGGTTGACTCAGGACTAAAGGAAAGGAAAACCAACCATAGCAGCTAATAACCTTTCAAGTCTGTTGCTGCTTGTAAAGCAGTCTCAGGAACAATAAGCCAGACTTGGAGAAGATCTGATTTATTTTATCTGGAATTTTTACAATATATGTGTTAGGTGCTTTTGGTTTGGAATCTGTGGCGGCTTCATTTTAGGTGGTCTCTAGGGGTGAAGAGAGGTACATGCCGGACAGACATGGGGGTCCTGAACAAAGGGGGCTTTGCAAGGCTTGGATCAGGGGCTAGTGGAGACACCCCTTTCTGGGTACCAAACGGGCACAGGAAATCAAGGAAATGATGCCCCAGGTTTTGCTACTAGGCTTCGTGACTGTCTCCATTGGCCTTCCTTGCCCACCTGCGTGTCCTGGCAGCCCCGTCACAGGCCCCTGTACACAGGTTTGCAGAGACCCCTGCCAGGTCAGGTAGAACCAAGACTTTCTGGTCCAGGAATCCTTTCAGAGAAAACTCAACTGCCTGCCAACTCTTCTGTGCTTTGTTTCTGTGCTGCTTTACTTGAGGTTGCGAGTACCGGAAAAAGAGAAGCAGATGTTTTCCAAGAATGTTTATGAAACTTCTGTTTTTAAGGTGCACATTAACGGGGCCCAAACTCTCTTGCATTTGCGGCTCACTTCTTGAAATTATATACATGTCCTCTAGAATTTGCTTGAGCAAATCTTTATCCATGGACATTGGAAACCCCTTGGTTTCCGCATTGAAGCCGTTCCAGTTTTGTCATTTAGATACTTAGAGACAAATCTGTTTTCACACAGGGTATAGAGAACTCCAGGGAGGTCATGTTTGCCTTCTTTCCCCTTGTGCATTTGGCTTCTATGTCTCTAGCATGTTTGGGTGTTTGCTTTGCTCATGTTAGGCAGTGGGGTAATTGACATTCTCTGCACAGAGATTTTAAGTTTTAAATTACCGTCTGGGTACAACAACCACCCTTCTCTTGCCCACCCTCACACCTGGAAACCTTTTGGAACTGTGCTGTCTTGAGACCCTAGCAGAAAAATCATTTTAACTTCTAGTAAATTGAGGAAGGCTCACATATCTGGGTGCTGGTGGACTGAGGCCTCATCATCAAGTGGAAGTTATTGTTAAGAATATATACACCTCGGGATTTCCCTCTGGCCCAGGGGTTAAGAATCTGCTTGGCAATGCAAGGACATGGGTTCAATCCCTGGTGCAGGAAGATTCCACATGCCGTGAGGCGACTAAGCCCATGTGCTGCAACTAAGACCCAATGCAACCAAATACGTGAATAAATACATATTTTTAAAAATATGCACCTTGTTTTCTGGATTGGCTAAGTGTAGGCTATGAAGCCAGTTGAACAATCTGATACACCCAAATGAAAGATGTCTTTATTTTTAACAAAAGTTAATTAGTTCCTTAAGAGTATCACTTCAGGGTGGAATAGTCCTTGAAATTCTGATGGAAGTCACAGAGGTTCAATATGTGTAACTCCTCCTTTTTAACGCGTAAATTTGACTTTTGCTTGGGCGTCATCTTATCCTCAAATAGTTTGGATTTTTTTTTTTCTTCTTTCCATGGAAGCTTGTAGGATAATTGACCTCCGCCAGTACCCCTCATCTCCTTTTTTCTCTCTTTTGTACATGAGAAATGTATTTTTGTATCATATCTCATACCTTGAAGAGAAGTTTTTTATATCTTCAGGGCTGTAGAATATATTAGTGTAACATATCATTCAGTGTGATATGAAAACATCCTGACGAAAACTACTGTGAATCTCTCTTATAGTTAAAACTCAGTTTTTTAGATATTTTCAAGTTTATCAGTGTTAATTTCCCAATGCTTCAATATCACAGTAAATACTAAGAGCAGAAAAGAGCCCAGAAAAGAAAAAGGATTTGTTATCTCCAACTTGCTGGATTTCTGTGGATGTTTGGGGATCAATGTTTGGAGCAATCTCTTCCTTGACATCCTGGCAAAGATGCTTTTGTGGCACATCAGCCTTTCATATTTTCCATTTTTGAATTTTCCAATACCAATCAGCATTACTTGCCTTCTGGGTTTTTTTTTAATTGGTCCCCCTTTTTTTTTTTTAAACCCCATATCATTCCTTGTAGCAAAATGCAACGGCAGAATTTCCTGAAATCTGGTCTTGTGAATTGTGCCAGGGTCTTTAATTTATGAAGGGGACCGAGTGACATCATGGAGAGAGGTTACTGCCTTTGAAGGAGATTTTAAATACCTATAGTTGCCCGGAGACGACAGGCACGACCCCAGGAAGCCTGTCTCCTGCTGACTGTGGCGGGGAGTAGCTAGTTGGAGACATTTCCTGTTGGCACTAAGGGTGAATATGCAGGATGGGGTCAGTACTTGGGAGGGTTGTAAAAGGACTTTTGTACACCCACCCACCGGGGCTGGCTTGTGAGGAAGATGTAAACCACTTTGGTGGCATTTCAGTAACCTAGAGAGGTTAGGAATACCATGTCAGATGTCCAGTGCAGAATCTAAAACATGGCTAAGACACCTTCTCACTATCGGGAATCCTGCTTTACTTCATCCCCTTGCTTCCTGCTACCTTTTGTTTTGTTTTTCCTTTTCCTTTTTTTTTTTTGTTCCCGGCTGCACCGCATAGCTCATGGGACCTTAGTTTCCCAACAAGGGATGGAACTTGGGTCCTCTGCAGTGAAAGCGAGGCATCCTAACCACTGGACTGCCAAAGAATTCCCTCTGCTACTTCTTAAGATGCTTTTAAGGAAGGATATTGGCCTTACAGGTTGATACCCGGTCACTTCTCCCGATGGGTTTTGAATTGACGGACTGAACCAAAAAGCCAGCTCTTGCCATCACCTCTCGGCCTTTTGGCTAAGATCAAGTGTAGTATGGGGACTTCCCGAGTGTTTCAGTGGTAAAGAATCCTCTTGCCAGTGCTGGAGATGCAAGAGTTGCAGGTTCGATCCCTGGTTCAGCAAGGTCCCCTGGAGTAGGAAATGCAACCCATTCCAGTATTCTTGCCTGGAAAATCCTGTGGACAGAGAAGCCTGGTAGGCTACAGTCCATGGGGTCACAAAGGGGATGCAAATGAGCGCACACACTCATCCCTCTAGCTCACTATAACAGAAATTTCTGGGGACTTCCCTGGCAGTCCCGTGGTTGAGACTCCATGCTTCCAATGCAGGGGACATGGGTTTAATCCCTGATGGGGGAAATAGCATGGCCAAAAAAAATAGAAGGAATTTCCAAGACCTAAAGGTGTCACCCATCTCCCCCAACTTTTTGTGGATAATACATCACCGTTCTGCAAAATTTTTGTTTATGGCCATTTGAATACTTCAACCTTTGCTCCTTATTATGAATAATAGAAGCATATACTTTTGCAGGATCTAATACAGTAGCCTTCAAATTAAGACTTGGACAACCATCAGTGTGATAAATAGGATCTGGAATAAACAAAGCTTGTCCAGCCTACTGAAATCTGCACTCTGCTCTTCACTGATTCCTTGATATGTAGGAGATACACCAGGACCAGTGTTTCCCTGGTGGTGGTATAAAAACCTGATTGCCCTTTGCACCATCTACTGAAAATCTGTGGCAGCTAGTGGTGTTATCAACCATATGTTCTAATGTCTTTTTGCAGATTTAAAGATTTTATTGTAGTGTCAATTTAATATCCGCATGTGTGTTAACTCTTTGAATACTGTAACTAAATTGATTTCTTTGTGATGGTGGTGGTGATTAGCACTCACTTAAAATCCAGCCTAGCACTTACTTCCCTCTTCTCAACTGGAAATCATATTTGTGAGGTATGGTACCCATGATCCACTGTATTCATGAGTCAACTTCACATTTCGTGTATCTCGTTATAAATTTTACATGGCATTTAATTTGATACTCTGAATTCATTTGATTTTAATATAGTGGTGTGTGTGTGTGCCTATGTGGCGTGTGCTCACTTTAGTTTCATGAGCCTTGGGAAACTGATTCTACAAATATCATAAATCGGCATAAATGTATAAGGCTTATTTTTTTGGCAAAGCAATCCGTACATTTCTCTTATTTATTAAATCACTGGCTTTGGTGTTACATAGAGATATTTGTAGACCAATTTCAGAACAGAATTAAAATATTGTGAAAATTACATCTTAATAAATGTTTATTGTAATTTTGGTGTACGGACTTCTTAAATGTATTTCATTACATCCAGCCAAGCCTGTGTGCAGTTTTCCCAACCCTGACATGTCATGCTGATTCCATGATCCTGTTCTCCAGTCTGAAGAGTGGTCATACCATCTTGAGTTTAATTGTTTAACTGAAGATAGGGTTGCCAGATAAAATACAAGATACCTGTCTATTTGTCAGATAGACAACAAATATGTTTTTTAGTATGTGTGTGCCCTGCAATATTTAGGACACACAACAAAGGGGGGAAAAGAGTTGTTACTTATCTGAAATTCAAATTCAGTGGGGT